CATCTTGTTATCTCTTTTCCCTTTTAAATGCACAAATGGCTAATTTTAACAGTGAGGTGGAAGCAAGCAGATGCTCGGCTGGCTGGCAAACGCAAGCTGAATGAAGAAAACAAATTATTTACATGATGGATGCTCTTGTGGCTGATGCATGCTGGGTAAAACAACTGCCGGGGCACATCCATGATGTAATCAATCCAGCATGAGTAAAGGTGATTATGTCATCAAGAAATAATGAAGACTGTTATAATATATGAAAGAATGCTACGTATACTATCTATCTATCTATCTATCTATCTATCTATCTATCTATCTATCTATCTATCTATCTATCTATCTATCTATCTATCTATCCATCCATCTATTTAGATATGGTGTCTATATATACGCCTGTCTGTCTGTCTGCCTATACAACTAAACAACTGTCTGTTTGTCTATCTATTCAACTGTCTATCTATATGTGGTGTCTCTCTATACGTCTGTCTGTGATGACTTGAGTGATGATTGAACCCCGGTTCTGTGGTGTGGTTAGCAGTAGTTCTTTCTAAATGAGCTAAGTCAGCAACTCCTGAGGAGCATTGGCCAGCAATAGCAAGGAGGAACAAAGTTAGCCCAAAAGGTATGAATTCCAAAAAAATAATACAGTCTTTACTGAAGAGAATTTGACAAAAAGGGGGAGACAATATCTCTCTACAGCTAGGGTTAAAAAAGTACAATACGCTTATTTCACGCGGCCGCCATTTTTAAGAATCAAAGTGAGGCTGCGGTGGGAAGAAACCCGGAAGTATAGGACGAGCACTGTAAACATTGCAGTAACATGCCGTGTACTATAAACCTCCAGCTGTTGCAGAGATTTCAAAATGCAGAAATGATGTAACCATCACTTTAATATTATTCAGTAAGTTTATTTTAAACAATTAAAAGCAATTTAGCATCAAACAACATCACAATCTCAGTGATACGCTTAAGTGTCCTCCTAGGTTTCAGCTCATGGCACTAGTTAAACACCGTGAGGACGCTTTCCAGCTTCAACCTGTGTAACCCAGTGAGTGATAAAACACTGCAGTCCTCTGCAACACACCCTCGTGTTGTCTTTAATAGTGTTGTCCCGGTACTGAAGTTTTAAACCCGGCTATTTCCCGCTAACATGGAAGCGCCGCTGGGCGCGGATGACTCGACTGATCTTTACGGCTTCGCGCTTCAGTCTCCGTGTATTTGTGTTTGGTTTGCGCTCAGTTTACAGCTCTTCACCCAGTGCAAACACAGATACACAGACTGGAGCGCGAAGCAGCCGTCAAGATCAGTCGAGTCATCAAGCAGATCGCTCGGCTCGTCTGTGTTTGTGCTCAGTATACATTGGTGGGTGAACTGATGACCTTCTCGGCCAATCATAAGCATTTCTGTTGAACACGTGAACACAATGGCAAATCAGCGCTGTTTCAAGAAAGCCATCAACATTGCCTTAAATGTTAGCGCGAAATTGCCGGTCTTTCTTTTAATTCAGTATCGTGACAAGTCTAATATAGTGAAAGAATCAGTTTATTAACTCGAGTTTGATGAATAGCATCTAAAACGTGTGTTTGGGAAAGAAAACGTTAGCTAACTAGTGCTATTTCCCTTAACTTAGCTGAAAATGAGCTCTGATATCCCTTTTTACATTCACCATTCATTCAGAACGGACCTTCGGGTCACCCGGAAGGCGGAGAAATTATAAATTTGTTTCACTTTCTCTTTGCTGATAAGATATATAGCCAGTTATACAACATTCCTATGTAACTCCCAATGATACTTCCGGGCTTCTTCCCACCGCAGTCTCGATTTCGCTTTTGAAAATGGCGGCCGCGTGAAATCAGTCTATAAAAATAAGAAAGCAGAGCTTCCTAAAATACATACAAAATAAAATAGACACGAGGGTCTTAGAACAATCAAATAGGAATATAGCCAGCAAAAAGTCTTGAGAATAACTTAACTGGTCACTGGATGAGGCAGGAAGAGGTAGGGTTCAGGACTGAACATACAAGATACAAAGCAGCAAGATACAAAGCAGTCTTATATTGAGCAAAAAACAGGTGGTGGTCATTAGACTGATTAAAAGGAAATTTAGAGGAACAAGAGTCACTGCCGCCATCTAATGTTGAGGAGTACAGGGCAATATTTGCGCCCCCTGGTGGGTTGAAGGACATGATAAAGTTCTGAGATATTACACTTTCTGTCTGTCTAGCTGTCTGTCTGTCTGTCTGTCTATGGTGTCTATCTATACATCTGTCTGTCTATACAACTGTCTATCTATATGGTGCCTATACGTCTGTCTATTTGTCTGTCTGTCTGTCTGTCTATCCATGTCTTTGTGTCTATCTATACATCTGTTCATCTGTCTGTCTGTCTGTCTGTCTGTCTGCCTGTCTGTATATCTTTGTCTCTATATATCTTACTGTCTGTCTGTCTGTCTGTCTGTCTGTCTGTCTATCTTTGTCTCTATCTATACTTCTTCTGTCTGTCAGTGTAAAAAATGTCTTTCTGTTTTTTATGCCTTACTGTCTGTCTATGTAAATCACATATAGGTGTATGCCAGTCAACTCTAAGCAAAGCATGCTGGGAAATGCTCAGTGCTATAGCGTGCATTGTAATAGGTCAGAGATTCACAGGTTTACTGGCGACAGGTGTTAGATTTGTGGTCTGACACTAAAGCTGTCATTCACCGACTGTGAGAATCGCCTGAGTGTGCAACGGTGGCTCGGCTGAGCTCATAACAAGATTTAAGATGAAATCAGCCTGTGCCCTGCAGACTCTCGGCCGCAGGACGGGAAAGGGCACCCAGGGGCCACAGCACTGCATCAGTGTCAATCATTCTGCTCTCATTTCGTCCACAGGCATGACGTGATGCTTCAATACAAGTGTGACTTTGACAGTGAGCACATACACAGAGACTGACGATGACATATTCTTATATTTAACTATACAAGACTAGCATTTATATTTTTAATTCATCTATTCATCTTTAAATTAGCATTTATCTATCTATCTATCTATCTATCTATCTATCTATCTATCTATCTATCTATCTATCTATCTATCTATCTATCTATCTATCTATCTATCTATCTATCTATCTATCTATCTACACCTACCATCTATCTACATCTATTTACTTGCTTGCCTTCATTCATTCATTCATTCCTTTATATATCTGTAAATCTATTTCTTTCTTTCCGTCTGTCAATTAATTCATTTACTTGTTCAATCATTTCTTTCATTTCCTGTGTTTCTTTTATTTCATTCATTCATTCAATCCTTTTTTTCATTCTGTTTGTCTGACAATTCATTCATTCCTTTCTTTCTTTCTTTCTTTCTTTCTTTCTTTCTTTCTTTCTTTCTTTCTTTCTTTCTTTCTTTCTGCCAATTAGTTAATTAATTAATTCATTCTCTCCTTTCATCCTTTTTTATTTCTATCTTTCTTTGTGTTAATTCGTTCATTTATTCCTTTCTTTTTATTTCTTTTTTCTTTTCTTTGTTTGTTTGTTACATTATTTCTTTTAATGTCAATTAATTCATTCATTCTTTTCTATATCTGTAAATAGTTTTTTTTCTTTCTTTCTGTCCGTCAATTAATTAATTAATTCATTAATTAATTCATTTCTTTCTTTCTTTCTTTCTTTCTTTCTTTCTTTCTTTCTTTCTTTCTTTCTTTCTTTCTTTCTTTCTTTCTCTTTTTTATTTTATTTCATTCATTCATTCATTCAATCAATGCATTTTTTCATTCTTTCTTTTATTCTGTCTGTTTGTCGATGTATTCATTTGTTCATGTCTTTCTTTCTTTCTTTCTTTTTTTCTTTCTTTCTTTCTTTCTTTCTTTCTTTCTTTCTTCCTGTCAATTCAATCATCCATTCATTCAGTCTCTCATTTATGTATTTTTTTCTTTCTTTTTGTTAATTTATTAATTCATTCGTTCTTTCATTCTTTTCTTTTCTTTCTTTCTTTCTTTCTTTCTTTCTTTCTTTCTTTCTTTCTTTCTTTCTTTCTTTCATTCATTATTTCATTCCTTTCTATATCTGTAAATCTATTTTTTTCTTTCTGTCTGTCTATGAATTTATTGATTAATTCCTTTATTTATTTTTATTTATTTCAATTCAATATTTATTTCATTTCTTTATTTTTTCTTTATTTTTCTTTCTTTCTTTCTTTCTTTCTTTCTTTCTTTCTTTCTTTCTTTCTTTCTTTCTATGTCAATTAATCCATTCACTCTCTTCTTTTTTTATCTTTCCTTCTGTCAATTAGTTAATTAAAAAATTAAATAACTAATTAATTAATTAATTAATTAATTAATTCATTCATTCATTCATACATTTCTTTCTTTCTTTCTTTCTTTCTTTCTTTCTTTCTTTCTTTCTTTCTTTCTTTCTTTCTTTCTTTCTTTTGTCCATCTCTTTTCCTGTTAATCCATTGTCAATCTGTCAGTCCATCTATTTTCCCCACGCTTCATCAGTATCGGTAGTTCAGCTACACCTTCAGCATAACCACGGGTTTAAATAGTTTACATTCACAGCAGCACTTTAAGAAGAGCACACAACAGTAATCACCCGGAGAGTAACCATGCTCATGAATAATTCATCAGCCTTTGATGAGTCACGCCCGCATTTCCCATTATCAAGGAAAAAAATTCAGAGCATTTTTGCAGTACTGAGTAAAGAGCCATCAGAGAGCTTAATCCACAAGCAATTTGCTTAAAACACCTCGACAGTTTTACGCGGGCCCAGAGTCATTTTAACATCAATTCTCCAACCGTATGGCCCGACTGACATGCAACGCTGAACCCCAGACAATGCCACAAGTTACTGAGCAGACGACCGTAAAAAAAAAAGGAAGTATCTCTTCCTGCCTCCTTTTTTATTGTTCTCCATGGAAACAAGACAAGTGGCAACACCTCCAGTTTGCAGGCAAAAAGCCTCATTGCTGATTTTCCACCCTTCTCCTCTATGATTGCAATATCAGATGCATTCTCTTACCGTGCCACCCCATTGAATAGGGGAAGGAGACCTCAAAGAGGTTGTCATATTTCGTCAGGAGTCTTTTCATTATGGATGCCAGACCTGTGGGGAAAGAAAAGGAGAGTGAACACTAAAAAAGCTTGAACTGACTTCAATTTTCCACCAATATTGCTTGGGTTTTATCCAGCCTGGTTTCATTACAGACTCTATGCACTTCACCCAAGCGCCTTTCATGGCCAGGAGGTGCATTCATTTTGTATTTCAGCCAAACAAAACTAGACTCGTGCACAAAACTCATGCCATCGAAACAAAGATGGATGGTTCGCATCTCCCTTGCTAAAATGAAATGACAGCATGTATCGTTTCAAAAACAAGCGACCTTTTTAACCGTTCCACTCAGTAAATCGCATTTGTCCTTTAAGAGTGATTCATGATTTCAAGACATGCTGCTGAATAAAAGCATGCTTTCCCAGCAAAACAACAGCTGCCTTGGTAATTTAAAAAATAATGACAATAAAATCAAGGCTTAGATTTAATAAACTTTGATTGTGCAACAGCTGAGCAAAAATAAATAAGTAAATAAATAAAACTGAATCACACATCTTGGTACTGTACAATGAGTTAAAAGAAATCAACTTTAATTGGATTTATTGTCAAGATGTTGCTTTCAGGTAATTGCACATTTGTGGCATGAGGTGACTTTCACACAGCAAGCAAACTGCTGGTGGTTAGGTCACAAGTGTCTGTACACTATTGTTTGCCAAGTTACATTTGTGAATGACATTGATTCCCTTATGTATACAAAGAATTAGGTTTCTTGCTGATAAAAAACAAACATTTAAAGGTAATTGGTACATAAACCATTTAATGTGAACAATGAATGGGGAACAACTCAGGGTTTTTGCCATTGTCGTTACATATTTTTATGAAACCATTCAGATTCACATGAGCAAAAAAGTAATGCTAAAAGTAATGGAGCAGTGGCTAACTTAAAGTCTCTGTCACCCCACTACAGCAGATAAATCACATGATCACCACTGACTTCACTCTTATTGGTAATCACTTGTGATAGTAGCTTTTCATTTGCATAAAGTTGAACATTTCTGAACTTTTGTCACATGTCTCCCATTACATGCCATTTCAACATTCTGGGCGCTTTCATACACCTGGCTCAATGTGGCGCAAGGTGCGGCGCAATACTCTTTTGCTACTTTTAGCTAGGCGCAAGGGTCATTTTGAGGTGTTGCGCCACGCTGTTTAAATAGCAAATGCTTTTGTGCTCAAATGTGCACGCATAGGCGTTCTGGTCTAAAAAAGCAGGCGTGTTTTGGCGCGTTGCTATTTTGAGAAACTGTAAATAGTCTGATCTTTAGACCAAAACGCAATATCTTTGCATATGAAAAATATATAATATCTTAAGGATATATATATATATATATATATATATATATATATATATATATATAATAAGGATATATACAGGATATAAATATAAATGATTTAAATATTAAAAAACATATTATTTCTACCCTACATGAAGATTTAAAAACCACTGCCTTACTTTCTTCAACTCGGGAGGCTTTTTCAGTTAATTCAATTTGCTTTTGTTTAATGTTATTATATTAGCAGTATTATTTATTATATCCATATTTATATTTGTTTTATTAAAAAAAACTTAGATTGGTCCACTTGTCAAATTTTAGACCATATGGGGCATGGCAGGTGTATTTGGAAATAACTCCATATTTTGACCACACTTGGTTATTATTGTTCATTTATTCGTTTGCTAGAAATTAGAACTGAATTTAGAAATAGTTTTGAAACAAATCTTTGCGCTTAACACACAAAATGAATTATTTATAGGCTAATTGATGTCTGTGCGTAAACGTTTCCCTATCCACAAGAGCTAAAGCGAAAGTGAACTTACTTTACGTCAAAATGCGCTTATGGCGCGACGCAGCTGGCTCTTAAATGGAAATGGAGATGAGGCTCTAATTGGTTTATTCTCAAAACACACCTATAACTCATAAAGAAAATAAACTCAACACTTTTAGACCATGCGCCATGGTGCAAAATGGATTTTCCCGTCCTAAAATTAGCAAAAACGCGTTCTGACACGCCGTGAGAGCATTTGCACCCTGCGTTTTGCGCTCTGCGCATGGACCGTCAAAATAGAGCCCTCTGTCGCCAATAGTTACTCTGTATTACACTGTTACTCTTGTTGACGAAGGTTGTTAGATCTGCACTGAAAATTAATGGGATTTAGAAGTAGTCATAGAAGTAGTAGTAACAAATATCACATATTCAAACTCTTTTGAAAACCTTTGAGCAATTTGATTCTTTTTGAATGAGACCACAGATTTAAATTTTTAGCTCCTACAAAGCTTTGGAGCAAGTTTTTTGTTTACAAAACAAAAACATTTAAATGTTTGATTCTGGTCAACCGGGACATTTTCTTAAGCAAACATATAGATATTTTTTTAAGTTCTAAGAATACTACAGCTAACATTTGCACAACAGGTGCCCAAACTCTGTCCTGGAGGTCCGAGGTCCGGTGTCCTGCAAAGCTCGCACACCTGGGCTAGCTAATCAAGCTCTTATTAGGCTCTCTAGAAACATCCTTGCAAGTGTTTTGAGGCAAATTTAAGCTAAAATCTGGAGGACACTGGTCCTTCAGGACCGAGTTTGATCATATTATTTGATCTATAATGTGTAATGGGTGCAGTAATGCTGGCCTGTACTGCAGTAGAAAGGTTAGAGCATGCTTTATTTACAACATGTACAACATAAAACAAAGGATAAATAATGGCTGTGTACCTGGCAGAAGGATAGAGTAAATGTTGCATTTACCTAAACAATGTGTATCTGCTGTAAATAAAGCAAATAGTCTGAATAAGTTTAAGAGTAAATATTATTTCCTTCTCCATAGACATGAACATGTATTTTACAAACCATAAATATGTTTTGCTGGTACTTAAAGGTGCCTGATGTAAGTTTAACACTCAGTGGTTGAACCAGATATTGCACTCTTGGATCAAAACACATGCAAGAGCAGGTTGCCAGATTGACAAAATCAACTGGAGTGTGCCTGCCTATCCAGCTTAAAGGTTGATTTAAGTCGTGTTCTAACTAAAGGCAACATGATAGAAGGAATATTAATTTTAATATTATAGAAATATTATATTTTAAAAAGAGGTTTTGTTCTAAGCATCAACAGAATCATCTATTTTTGAAACGATTTCTTTTTCTTGCACAACAGAAAACTGACAGTGATCTCCTCAGGTACACCCCATGTGCTTTATTCACTATTAAATGCTAATAAGTTTGAATGTCATTTTACATGACAGTTAATGTCATATTACTGAAAGCAGCAGAAAATGGTTCACCTCAGATCTTGAAACCAAATAAACCAGTTGAACTTTAAAACTGTGACTCAAAACCAACACATATCAGTAATTCAGCATGTACATTTAATAACAATAAAGATATTTAATATGTATTAATTTGTTTATAAACATAACTATTTTGTTGGAGTGCAGTAAGTGTACTATTCTGTGCTTCTTAATGGCTTCATTAAAACTTCTGTCAAGTTGTGTCAGGTGCAAACCAAACTGCTTATCACTGCAAGTCTCCTCACGTAGTGTGTTTTTAGGACATGGGGTTATAATGTAACCTGCTCACCTAATGTTTACGTTTGTAATGTTTAGGTTATTTGCTAATTAATAACCATTTGATGTGAAACTCTGAATCTGCGTCTCATTTCGGAGTCTGCTACTGTCCACCAGAGGTCACATATCAGTCACTGATGCATGCTTTGAGAGCCTTCCTCTGTGAGTTAATGAAGGAAATACGCTATTTTCCACAAAGGCAAACTGAGATGCTGAAATATAACTGGCTAAACAGGCAGTGGGAGGGTTAAAAGAACCAAAGCAAACACAGACCTTCTGGTACGTAACAAGAATGTTCACTTAGCATGTTTCTTAAATATCTGCAAACATATTATGGTATTTGTATGCTTTAGAAGAGTAAAAAAACGTACATACAGCACATTTAAGTGCATTTTAATGTCTGTAACCTAACAACATTATTTGAAAACAGTGATTTATGATGATACTGTGAACTCTGAACATTCTAATCACACGGGTGTGATCATATCTTTCAGGGACCAGCCTAGACTGATCACACCAGTGTAAGCATAAACCTCAAAAACTTAAAATAGCATCACTTAACCAATGTTTCTGTTCATTTTACATTCACACTATTGGGTGCATTCATTAAATTGCTGCTCCGTATTTGCAAAGGATATTTCAGAATAAACTGCTTCTTATTCACAAATCACCCCTTCCTATTCCTAGCAATCATGGCAGCAGTTCATAAAATGATGATCAAATGACATTGAAGAGTGTTACATGCAGGGATATCCAAATGTACAATGAAATCAAGCACGCATTCAACCAATTCAAAGAGGCAATTCAGATTAGAGTGGGGGGCAGTCTTAGCAAAGTATGTCAGATTGCAGTAATCAGCTCTATCATTGCATTTATTCAAAATTATTGTAAACATATAAAGCCAAATGGATTCAAACCAACAGAGTACATATGTAAGTCTAATCTTCCTAAACTGCTCTCCGGAAACAAATTAAGTGTGATAATGTCTTTGTTGGTTCGTCTAACTCAACAATAATGAGTTACGTGCATTCAAATGAAGGCTTTTTTGTCTGAAAGAGTCTGAAAAAGCTAGCCTAAAACTGCTGAGAGCACCAGCACTTACTCTGGGAAATGTTTGGTTTGTCAGCCGATAAAACAGATTACATGCTAGGCTGGAAGTCTGTGATCCTTAGGCAGTCTCCTCAACTGGAACAATGGGTGAGCGTCACAGCTCAGAGACAATTCGCAACAATTTCCCAATCTCCATGTTAAACAAGAGCTGATGAGGCTTATTTTCATCTACATTATACATTATACTGTTCATCTGCATGATTGATGCATTATTATGTGCATATATCAGAAAAAAAAAGTGAACAAACGGTCTCTGTGCAAATGATGAAATACATTAGAGGATTTGAAATGAAGAATTTCGACAGGGTTTGGTTGAGTTATGAA